CTCCCCCTCTCTCCTCTCTTCCTCTAATCTCTCTTCCTTCCTCCCTCTCTCCCCCTCTCTCTTCCTCACTCCCTCTCCCCTCTCTTTCCTTCTCTCTTTCCCTTCTTCCCCCTTCCTCTCTCTTCTCTTCCTCTATCTCTCTTCCTCCCTCTCTCTTCCCTCCCTCCATCTCTCTCTCTCTCTCTCTATTTCTCTGTTTTTCTTTATTTTATTTCTTCTGGAAAAAGAAAAAAATATTGGCAGTTGAGCTTCACTTCTTCATGGCCATATCCACGTGATTTTTCCGGACAAGAGTAGAAAAGTCATTTGCAATTCCCTTCTGGCCTCTCGAGCCCACATCCCTGAGATTAGCCAGTGAGGTCCCATCCGAGTGTTAACCAAGCTTGACTTTGCTTAGGTTGGCCTAATAAACAATATGGACTTAATCTGACTAATAAAATTTCAGCAGCTTCACCCAAGAACGAGAAACAAAAGCTTCTGCATAAAGGGAACACAGCTCACAGCATGTTCTCTGCGATCCCCGATCTTCCTTTGCTTTGGGTTTTGTTCGTTTTATTAATTTACTAGCTCGATATCCATGCTTTGCTACTAAACTATGTGGTCAGGCTTAGTTTTTGGGGAGGAAAATAAGGGGGGAAAAATTCTGCCTCTGCCTACCAGCATCCATCGGTATTCATCTGGCTAGTCCTGTCAGTGGGTGAGAGAGTTGAGGGCTGTTTGTAAACTGTAACAGTATTTGCTGTATGAGCAAGAAGGAGACAGCAAGGAACCTGGGCATGGCTTAGCTCAACTGTTCTGTATTAAAGTTGCTTGCTGCTGTGAAACTGAAACTCCTCTGTTTGTGTTTTGCATTTGGAACAGGTTTCTTTTCAGGTGGGGAGTGGGAGTAGAACTCCTTAGCATCAGAGCCTCTTAATAATAATAATATAGGAAATACTCTAAATGCTCTAAGGGTCATTTCGAAGAATCCTTTCTTAGCGAGCACCTAGAAGCCAAGAGGAACATACGTGCCAAATTTCAAGTTTGTAAGCTTTACGGTTCTGGAGATTTCGTGATGATGCGTGAGTGGTCTTTCGCTTTTATAGACAAGAGATTTTCATTTTCTGAATGGACAGGTGCATTCAGTAGTGTTGACAATCTGGAAGAAGAAGACGGGAAAAAAAAAAAAAGTAGAGTCCACAGGATGCAATTTCATTCGTGCTGCTTTGCAAATTGGTGGGCAGGACTTTAAAATGTTTTTTTTTTTCCAAGCATGCGGGGTGGTCTTATGGGGGCGGGAATCAACCTGAGTGATGTAATGGAGCAACTTCCTTTTTGAGTGGGCTGCCCCAGTCTTGCCTCATGCTGCTCCTATGGAATATTGGTTTCTAACTGCCAGAAGAGCGGAGATGACACAGCTACCTTCCCCGGCTTAAAAACCCAAAGAATTAACAGAAGCCGTTCGAAAGGGGCAGGCAGGGGGGGTTGGCTACTTCCTGTTTGGATAAAGTAGAAAAACAGAAAAACCCTAAAGGACAGGAGGGCATTTAATCAAGCCTCTCTTCCCCTTGCTGGCTGCTTCTTCCTGAGATGGCTGAGAACATTCCAAGCGGTGGGAATTTAGACCTTTTCTTGGAATTTTGAGTTCAGCTTTTTCACAGTCTTCTCCCCCCCCAAAAAAAGAAAGAGAGAGGGAGGAAGAAGAAGAGGAAGAAAAGGAGAAGAGGGGAAGGAGGAGGAGAAGGTGAAGAGGGGGGCAGGAAGAGAAGGAAAGGAGGAGAAGAGGGGGACGAGGAGGAGAAAAAGAAGGGAGGAGGAAGAGAAAAAGAGGGGGAGGAGAAGGAAAAGAGAGAGGAGAGGGAGGAGAAGGAGGAGAAAAAGGAGGAGAAGGAGGAGAGGAAGGAGGAGAAGGAGAAGAGGGTGACAAAGAGAAGAAGAGGGAGGAGGAGGAGAAAAAGGAGAAGGGAGGGAGAAGAGGGGGGAGAAGAAAGAAAAGGAGAAGCAGAGGAGAAGGAGAGAGGGGGGAGGGAGGGAGGGAGGGAGGGAAAAAGAGAGAATGGCTCCAAAGAAGAAGGATGGTAGGACTTATTGGCAACATGGAGGTGGTGGAAATTTGAAGGTTCCTTCAAGCACCACATCGCTCGTTCAGCTTCCAGCGGAGACTGAACACTTTTCAGAAGCTGGTTGGATGGTAGTGAATGAACCCTCATCTATGGGTTCCCTTGCACAATTGGATATGGATACCGAAGAGCAGGAAACTCTACACACGATCCAAATTTTGGAGAACTGCCTTGGTCAGGTAGGCAGACTCCATGTTTCATTTTTGGAGAAGACATGTGAAGAGGGCAAAGGATGAAGCTGGAAGGCATATCAGGAAGAGTCCATTAGCAATAGTTAGCCATGCCTCGTTTCTGGAAGTTGGTTTATTCACAGTTTGGCTGTTTCAGCAAACACATGGAGGCACTACTTCTTCTCCTCCTTCTCCTTCTCCTTCTCCTCCTCCTCCTTCTCCTCCTCCTCCTCCTCCTCCTCCTCCTCCTCCATCCATCCATCCATCCATCCATCCATCCATCCATCCATGTACTGGTCACATAATCCCCAAAGCTGTGCTGCTTTAGTGAATAAGGGAACTGCTGTATATTGATTCAATTTTTTTACAGGAAATAAACTTCTTCTTCTTCTTCTTCTTCTTCTTCTTCTTCTTCTTCTTCTTCTTCTTCTTCTTCTTCTTCCTCCTCCTCCTCCTCCTCCTCCTCCTCCTCCTCCTCCTCCTCCTCCTCCTCCTTTCTTCTTCTTTCCTAGATTGCTATGCAGCCAGACCTATACAGATGTGAGGCAACTTCCATAAAATGCAACCATGGCAGAAAAGATTATTATAACATTATAATAGAAAGCAGGATAAATAATAAGCTCACAGGAAGCATGTAAACTATAAAATATCAGTGTTGAAGAAATAAAAACAAAACAGGTTTCTGTTTTGGTACTATCCCTTAAAGACTTTCCTATTATCTCTCTGATCAGTTGTTTTCAGTTGGAGAAGATGGTTTTTTTTACGTGGCATTTGACTTTGGTTGTCAAAGAGTTACTGTCACTGTACCTGGACTTTGGGCACATTAGTCTTCGACTTACAACAGTTCATTTAGTTACAATGGCACTGGAAAAAAAGTGACTTATGACCCCTTTTCACACTTAACTACATTGGGACACTAGTTTATATTGTGTCTCTTTCTGTAATGTGATAAATAGGCAAAGCTCTTAAAAACCAAACCGATAGCACTGATCATCCAAAACAGGTTTTTTTTCTTTTAGAAATTGGTGGGAGCTGGGATCAGAATTAACAATCAGCCAACCTGGATGATTAGGGGACTGGAGGCTGAAACATCTGAAGAACGGTTGCAGGACCTGGTTATGTCTAGTCTTATGAAAAGAAGGACTAGGGGAGACATGATAGCAGTCTTCCAATATCTCAGGGGCTGCCCCAAAGAAGAGGGAGTCAAGCTACTCTCCAAAGCACCTAAAGGCAGGAAGAGAAGCAACGGGTGGAAACTAATCAAGGAGAGAAGCAACCAGAAAGAAAGACCAGTTGAGCTGGCCCACCACTTGTGCAAGTCAAGCGGCGCTCATGCGGCCTGGTTGTGAATAGGCCATGGCCCAGGAGTTGGGGACCCCCGGTTGAGCAAATCTCTTGTTTGGATCTTTCCAGATGAGACTGAAGAGCCAATAGCTAAAGTTGTGATTAGTGGATACTGTTCAGAGTGCTTAGGTAAGATGCTAAGTGGGATTTGAAAATGCATTGCAGTTGCCATCTCTCAAAACGTCCAAACTACCACAGTCTTAAGGTCAAAAGCCTTTTACATGCCTGAATTTCTTATCCTTCTCATGGTAAGAGAACTTTGATGAATGAGCAGGAGTTCCGGCCTTGTTTTGATTCGATTCTTTTTATAGCAGCACATGTACAAACTTTGGTGCAACATTTTCCATCTCTATGTTGTTCTTTTAAGAATTCGGCTGCATGCTTGCAATTCTCGGGGTTTTTTAATGATTCTTTTATGATGAGTATGATGATTATTCCTGTCTTCTAGATTGGCAGAGTGTCTGGAATTTTCTCCTCCATTCTGCAGTGAGAATCCACAATATTCCCATGCTGGTTTTGTACTTTTCCAAACCTGGAGGCCAAAAGTTTTCCTGACAGAACAATTAACCAGTGGAACAACTTGCCTCTAGAAGTTGTGAATGCTCCAACACTGGAAGTTTTTAAGAAGATGTTGGATAGCCATTTGTCTGAAGTGGTGTAGGGTTTCCTGCCTAGGCAGAGGGTTGGACTAGAAGATCTCCAAGGTCCCTTCCAACTTTGCTATTCTATTCTAAGTTAAATGTTCCAGAAAGACATGTGTACCTAGATGAGTCATGAGCCTCTCTTACTTTTAAGAACTGCAGTAAGACTGCAGTGAAGATGTTTCTGTGCTTCGCAGCTTCCTCTCTAGAAAACTTGGCTTCTATTCTCTGAGGATTTAGAAGTTTGCAAAGATTCTTCTCTTGAGCCAAGATTTGACTTGTTTAGAGAATTTTACTCTTGACTTAGTTGATCGTTTTAATCACAATGGTTTATTCTGTTTATACTTGAATACTTGGTTAGCTGCCTCGTGTGCTCACTGGAGCAGTCAGGATGAACATAAATCAAATCAACAGATATTGATTTCAGATGTTGGTGCACATCCACAGGAGGGAAAAATTAGACCTTATGTGTATGAGCCACACCAGCATCATCTATATGTTAGTCAATATATATTGTTGTTGTGAAGTTGTGGACAATGTTCCTCCAGGCCTTCCTGTCTTCTACCATCTCCTAGAGTCCATTTAAGCCCATTAGTGTTATATATATATATATATATATATATATATATATATATATATATATATATATATATATATATATAT